AAAGTAACCTTCCCAACACTGGCAGTATCTAATGTTATAAAATAGCACTGCTGTTCAGCACTATTGGCACTACTGATACTCGGTTGTCACAAGAGTACTGCAGTGGGATGCCACATACTAACAAAATGAGCAGTGATCATTGAGAAACAGATTACATAACACAGAAACACAGAAATGAAATCTGAGCCTCACTTAACCTGAGTTCTGCTATTCCACTTTTCCCATTATGGCAGGAACATAAGGATGGACAGGAATGGGCCGCTAACAGAAGCGACTGCAAAATGTGAAAAAGTACCAGCAGATGCATCCTTTGTCAAATTAACCTTACAAAGAGACGGCCTTTTGTATATCCATGTTAGTAGCCCTATCTCTCTGATGTTGTTTCCAAGGTGCAGAGTGAAAAGGAATCCCAGATTAGCTGGGATTACGCTGCTTACGAGTGACATGTAATCCCACACTTCAATCAGAATAACACATTAAAACGTCGGGGCCAGCCTAAGGCTTTTTGAACCTTGTGGGGGGTCCGCCTGTGCACCGTCTCCTAATAGTTTTGTACATCACATCGCAGCATAAGCATTAAGCAGTCCTGCTAATGTTTTCACACACACCATGCTGGGGGTGGAGGTGGTTGAGAGGAAGAGGAGTGAAGGGGCACCGAAGTATTGTGGTTAGCACAGGACGGTCAACATCAGCTGGAGCCTTTGGAGTTTCCTCCCACAGTCTAATGTTAGGTTAACTGGTTGATTCCATATCATTATAAGTAAGATAATACCAGTGCCAACTAAGGTAATACTAGTGCAGACATGTTAATTAAATCAAAATAACATTACCAGTTACACGGAAAATTACACCCGTGACAGCACTTTATTGTATCAGTGAATTAACAGAAACACCATTTTTACTTGTTTTATAAAACATGTACACAGTGCATTGTATGCATTTACTGTCCCATGAATGCACATCACCTCAAAACTTTAAAACTGTACTGCTACATTACAAAGCATGTCACATAACTCAGCAGAAGCACATTGAGACACCACATACATTCGCAGGGCTCCTCGCTGATGGTGATGCAAAATGATGCACATCCACACCGGTATTTAATGTGTTCTACTTTAGACTCAGATTTTGTTTAATCATGCTGATAAACTAAATTATCACATACCTGAGGAAGTCTGATTATGAAATCATTACATAAAATAAAAAGGGTTTGTTTAAATAAAAAACAAAGTCATGAAAAACGTGGTGATGTGGTGGTTAGCAACTGTTGCCTCACAGCAAAAATGTTCTAGCTTTGAATCCTGTTTGCTGGGGCCTGTCTGGGGCTTTCACAGGTTCTCTCCGGGCACTCTGGCTCCATCACATTCAAAGACTGTGATTAAGTTAATTGGTGTGTTAGCCCTGTAATAGACAGGGTGTGTGCCATCTGTTTCCCTGGGACAGCAGCTTCAGCCCACCCAACATCACATGGATAAGCAGAAGAAATTTGATGGGCCTATTTCCAAGCAGACATTTGGAGATTTACTGAAACTGCACTTAAACATGACTCCCAACTGTAAAATTGTATGAATTAACTAATGTGTGCTTATCTACCCAAAATGTTAGTAATAGGAACACAAATGTTTGGCACACTACCAGGAAAAAAATATATGAAGATGGTTAAGGCCACATTAAGACAAAAAATATTATTGATCGTTTTGAGAATAAAGCTGAAATTCTATTCCAGAAATTCAAGGAAAAAGTGAAAAACTTACAGTTGTTTCAAGGCAAACTGCTGCTATACCCTGTACAAAATGTCTTGTGTAGATGAGTTAGTGAAATCATACCTCAGAGTCAGTTTTAGTTTCAAGGAAATGATTTAAACACAGTGTGGTGATGGGTATAAGGAGGTGAAAAAAGTCAGTGCAGAGCGTTGCATCTAGTCACAAGGGAAAAACACACAAACATGGAAGAGTTGATCGGATTTGTGCAAAATGAAATGTTGCCAGTGGACAGGATATCGATGGTTAGTCCCTCGTGCAGTAAAGAGGATGGAGGACAAGACATGATCAGACAGTTGATCAGTTTGTGTCACTAACTCATCTACAGAGGCTGTTTGTACAGGGTATAGCAGCCTTGAAACCACTGCGTCTCTATATTTCGACGCATTTCAGCTTTATTCTCAAAATGATCGATAATAATTTTTTTCTTAATGTGGTTCTTTTTTATTGGAGGAAGCATGTTTCCATAGAAACAAGCTTCCATACTATTTGCCGTTTTCCCGAGCACTTCCACGACTGTCTGGCTCAGTGTTCCACATAAGTGAAGGGAGATAACAACGCTGTCATTACTTCCCTGCCCTGTGGGTGGCGCCCTGTCACAGGCTCGATGAAGTTTAGACGCTTAAAAAAAATCTGCTGGCTCCCGAGATCGAGAACGCGCTCTGAGTCGCTCCCCCAGCATGTGTTTACTCCTAAAAGTTCCTGTCACTGTACTAGCAGGAATATGTCTGCTGTGACGCCTCCTGTAAATGGCCGGCATGTTTCTCATCGACGTGAGTTAGAAGAGCTACCAACGGAAAACCGGAGAAGGCAGCATATTCCTCCGCCTGTCCAGGGTGGAAGGCAGGCACCACCACACAGCCAGCGGCACCGGGTAAAGCGGCCGAGCGGCGTTTGTTGAGCTAGCTGTAGCCGCCTTTTTCAGATTTCATGCTAACATTGTGGCAACAGGGCCGAGTTGTCGAGATCTGGGAGCGGTTTCACCGTCGGCTCAGCCTGCCGTGAGGTCTAACTTTGTTTTTTAGGTTTATCTGTTGTCCTAACGTAAACACTTGAGTCAGAGTCCATTCAGATGTTATTTTATTCGAAGAATTAAGCAAAGGATCCGCGGGCAGGACAGGACGGTCATATAACTTAAGTAATATCAAAAATATGAAGTTAACGATCCCGTGTCATCTTGTAAGACGTATTGCTTTGTGTCAGAACACGCCATTGATCATTGAACCCACAGTAAACTTGATCGGTCAAAGTACACCAGTGGCAGTGGGCCCTACTTTAAATATCACAAATCCTGTTATTTCTAATTGTTTTCTTTATTATTTCATTTAATACAGAAAACTGCAGCTATTGTGGTGTTATTAGTTTAGTAATCGAGTTTTTAATCGACTGCTGCCTTATTAATGAGCAACGATAAATGTTCCAAAGTGGAAAAACAGGTATTTCAAAAACGATCTGCTCATTGTTTTGTGTTTTGGAAATTTCAGTGTTTTAAAATTTCACTGCATCCAACATCTGTCAGAGAAACATTTAATATTTTACAGCATACACTTTCCAAA